AAATAAAGGGCAGTGCTATTCTTTGACTTGCTGAGATGAAAGACCAGTAACTGTGACTTCCTTCTCTCACTACGCAAGTCATTCAATCAGTCATTTTCTCTCCCTGTGACCAAATCATCGAATCATTCATTTGACTTAACATTGGCTCGACATTAAACCAAGATGATGGATTGTTCAGTCAATCTTTTTATGGATAAAAATCCTCAATGCTTTTTATTCTAAATACTCTAAATGCTCTTTCTTCCAAAAAAAAAAAAGTTTATTTTTTATTTTTTTTTTCCCAAGCTCCAGAGTTCAATTATTGCTCACTAACAGCAATTTAAATAGCATTTAAACAAAATAACCTTGGCTTCTAGGTTTCTAACAGGGCACTTCCTAAGTAAATCTTCCTTGGTTAACAGCTGTCAACTGTCAATGGGAGGCAGGTAATTAAATTTGAAGATAGCTTTATGGCTCAGAAAAATAGAAAAAATCCTTGGACCAGAAAGGTCTCCAGTTAATGCAGTTATTGCCCCCTCTGGTATTTGAACTAATGCAAGAAATTGATTATTCTCTAATGAAACAGATAAAGAGGAAAACTGCCATTATTTGCTAATTGCAAGTAAAATTCAGTTGAGGCTGTTTTCCCAGCTGAGATCCCACTCTTGGTTTTATTTCAGTAGATATTTGGAAGAAAAGGGAAAAAGAAAAAAAGCTATCTGGAAAAATACTGGAATGAAACAAACCATGATAGGATGAGAAGGTGGCAGGTAGGGGCTGTGAATACTTAGATGTGGCAATTAGGAGGGGTTTCAGCAGCAGGAAATGCAAAGATCAAGTACCTAAAAAAAAAAGTGTGGATTTTTTTTTATCATATATAACAGTAATACAGTGATAGAGCAGTTCCAGCATTATTTCAGAGCTTATCATTTCTTTAGGCAGTTTTTTTTTTCCTAGATTTTTGCTTGCCATTCTCAGCAATCTTCTTGGTAAGCTACAAGTGCTGCACATACCAATATCCAGAGGCAGAAAAAGAAATCGCCCCCTTTTTTGTGGTAGTCTTTAAGACGGAAGAAACCTCTTCCAATACCCTTGCAAAGGCTTCCCTTTAGATCTCACTGACCAGAACTCCTCACATGTCACATTTTAAACCACTCACTAGCTAGGGGTGGGTGGGACAACTATGGTAGGTATGGACCAGTTCTGCCTACAGGGAACAAAAGGACAATTCTTTTATTAATTTAGATTTTTTTTTTAAGATTTTGTTTACTTATTCATGAGAGACACACAGAGAGGCAGAGACACAGGCAGAGGGAGAAACAGGATCCCCGCAAGAAGCCTGATGTGGGACTCGATCCCAGGACCCCAGGATCACAACTTGAGCTGAAGGCAGCTGCTCAACCACTGAGCCACCCAGGTGCCCTGGAAAATTCTCTTTCAGATGGAGGGTCAACAATGTCTCTGGCTGATAGGAGCACATGCTGGTCCTCTACTGTGTGCTGGTGCAACATCCTTTGAGCTCTGTGTTGGCATCACCGATCTATACATGAGGAAATCAACACTGGGCAAACTGTGGTAGCTTTCTTTTATATTTTTTTTTAATGATAGTCACAGAGAGAGAGAGAGAGAGAGAGAGAGGCAGAGACACAGGCAGAGGGAGAAGCAGGCTCCATGCACCGGGAGCCCGACGTGGGATTCGATCCCGGGTCTCCAGGATCGCGCCCTGGGCCAAAGGCAGGCGCCAAACCGCGCGCCACCCAGGGATCCCTGTGGTAGCTTTCTTAAAATAATATATGTAGTAAGTGATGAAGTGGAATTTCAATTCAGGACTGTCTGACTCCGACTCTGTACTCCCACCACATCCCCCTGTTGCCTATACATCACGATTCACTTTCAGTCTCAATCACGGAGCTGCTCTTTTAGGATAAAACAATCAGTGCATCTCTGTGCTTGCTTTTCACTTTAGAATTACTCTCCTTAGGGCTTCCTCAGAGCTGTCGACTCTTAAAGACTCACATAACCCATGAGAGGAATTGGAAAAACTCGACCTGCAGACTTGATATTTTCAGTGGCAAATTCATATTCTAATTTTACATGTTTGGGGGACATATCTGCTTTGATTAGAATTTAATCTGTCAACACTCACATAATCTCTCTACCAAAGAAATTCCCCTTTCAAATCCCTCAAAACTAGTCAAGGCATGTTCTTTCTCTTGTTCTTAGTTTTCAGCTTCCTTTTACCCCAGCTCAACTTCATCTGAAATCAGTTCCAAATCCTTTATTTTAAGCATTCTGCAGATCAACTCTTCCTTTCCATTTTTTTAGCGTATCAGGTCTTTATCAGCATCATATCTGGAATATTCTCATCTCTTAGCTTTCCAGCCTCACATACTTTAAAATGACCTGCCACACAAATTATTTTCCTTAAAAACTACTTATTTTATTATTTTACTGTCCTCTTCAAATAATTTGAGTTCATTCTGCATGTGAAAAAATGAAGTATTAAATATAGTAATAAATTAAGATCAGGGAATCTGATTTTTCCCTCCATGTGTAAGGACTTGTTCTTATCTTGATGGCTGAAGCTCGACGTCTTTTCCCAAGTCATAGCAATGTAACCCCTGTCACTACAGGATAGACACTCTTTTAAGCACTCGGTGTATATCAACAATTTAAACCTCACAACACCCCCTAGGAGGTAGGCACCATTATTCTTATTCTGACTTTACACATGAGGCCACTGGAGTGCAGAGGGATAAAGGCACCTGCCAAGAATACTCAGAAATGAAATGGCAAAGCTCGAATTCACACCCCAGTGGTTGGGGCCCCGGAGGCCACAAACTCAGTCACATTTTATTTTTCTAGTTTATGTATTTCACTGGAGAGTTATTTATTGAAGAGGTATGTGTTGAACATTTATTCTTCACCCCCAAGCTAAACCTTTCTCCTGATGTTTTTATAGAAAAACTATACAACCCTGAGTCTCCTCCATCTGATGAAAAGTAAGCTTTATATAACACCTTGAATTTAGGCAAAATCAAAGCAGCCTTTGTCTTTGCAACTTTTGATTGGCATTTACCAGATTCTATATTCTTTCTCATGTTCTGAGCTCTTGGGTCTTTTTTTTTTTTTCTCCCCTATTTCAGCAATAACCTCTGAAGTCTGGCAGGGGCTCGCTTTTTTTCCTGAATGACATCCCTTTCCTCTGTCTTGCTCAGCCAGTGACACCACTGCTGCCAACGTCATCACCTGTCTGTGATGCCTACTGAGGCTCAGTAACCTCTAACTAGGTTCACGTACCACACAGCACTCTGCATCCCAAGTCTCCGATTTCCAGATCTGTCATATATTCTCTTGTTTAAATCCTCTTTCAATGTCTTTTGTTCCTGTCTTCTCTCATGACTTGCTTCTTGACTCTTCTGAAGTATTTTTATTACTTTTTAATGGTTTCTTCCACATAAAAAGAATCCTACACTTTACTGTCATGTTATGTCATAACATACTGTTATGTTTTATGATCATGCGTTAGTAATTTTAGGAATCTAGTTCCTTAAAAGAAAAAGAAAAAAAGAAAATGTGTATCTAGTAATTCAAATTTGATAATACTATACTAACAGTAATAATTATTAGAATTTATTAAATGCTTTTTCTGTCTTCATTTCAAATATTCACATGTATTAATTAAATTGATTTCCATGGAACTGTGAGTAGAGGTGATATCGTTGCTTTTTTGCAAGTGAGAAAATCAAAGCCCAAGGAGGTTAAGTAACTTGTTCAATGTCACAGGAAGTTTGGTGCCACAGCCTGGCTTCATAATCACTTTGCTACTCCCATAACATTTTCAGTGTATTGACTAGATGTAGAACTGCTTACGGAATATAATGCCAAACATTCTGAACTGATATGCCTGGGAAATAGGTTAAATTTGTGACTTCTCTATCTTTCCACATGGCCCAAGAGCTCACAGAATGTAGTTCAAGGCTTTCTGTAAGAATTCTTATTATTTCAGATTTGGGGTTAAGTCACATCACAGCCTATGAGAATTTCTAGAAGTGCATTTGTGATTCAATGTCTAAAATTCAGAAATAATTCATCATTGAAACACAGTAAACTGTGAAAGCAAATTCCTTTGTAAAGTTGTCACTCTTTTAAGATCATAATCCCAAGAATAAAGAATTACTGAACCATTTGAATGGAAAGTTATAAATTGTATGAAGGAGCATTTTGACTAGAAAGAAAATTGAATCTGCTATACTGATTATTGATCTTTTAATTGCCATGGAGCATTCATTGTCTTCAAAGTTTAGCTGTACAGGCACATATTTTACACATAATATAAGTCAAAAGACCATGATCATTGAGATACTGAAAATCTAAACATTCAGATCATCTGAATATTTGTGCTCTACTGTTAGATATATACATTGGTAGACTGTCATTTAAACAACATTGCCTTCTGCACGAGGTGTAACGGAGAGAGTAGATTTGTTTTCAAGTAATTTATAGAAAAAAAAGATCAAATTAGTTAGAATTATGTTAAGGAGGTAAAGTAAATATTTAAAGTAGGAAAATACCAATCCTAAAATGATGAATGTATTGATTACAATCATAAAACATTGAGAGAAGCTAAGAAGACATCACACTGTCATTGCTTTTGGGTTTTTTTGTCCAGTCTGCTCACTTACTGTATTTTTTTGGTTGATCTAGTTTCATTTTGAGGGAATGATAGCCAGTGACAAAACTGAGTTGAGATTCTTACAAAATGTGAATAATTTTGCAATAAGATAGTATTACAAACTTCAACATTGGATTTATTGATTTATTTGTCTTTTATTTCAACATAGAGACAATAAATAAAAATAACCACTAACATAATTCTGTTTTAAAATTAATGTATTATTGTAGGAGGAAAATTATATCTTAACTTTTTGGGTAAATATTTCTATAAAATAATTTTCATTAAGATAATAGAATCGTGAAACCAAGAAACTCTATTGCCATTGTGCTGTTCACTATTTCAGAGCTCCGAGAAACCAAGACCTCTGAATACTTCAGCCTGTCCCACCACCCTTTGGACTACAGGATATTATTGATGGATGAAGATCAGGACCGGATATATGTGGGCAGCAAAGATCACATTCTTTCCTTGAATATTAACAATATAAGTCAAGAACCTTTGAGTGTAAGTTTGTCATTTCGATGAGGGCCATGTTGACTTTGTTAGATGCCTTTTTCTTTAAAAATTTCAAATACGATTAAAAAATTATATATTCCTCTAGAACTATAGAAAATGCTGGCTGTATGTCAATAAATAACTGGAAGTTCATACTTATTTCATGTACTGAAAATATAATCAGTTCAATTCTCACTGTCTAGCTTCATAGATTTTAACATTTTAAAACCTGAAAGAAAATACTTCCTGTGTATGTGTTTGCATACAAGTATGTGTGTGTATGTACAGGGAGAGGGAGAGACAGACAGAAAGAACCATACAGTATAGCCTGAAAAAATGAGCAGACTAAAGGAAGATCTATCTTGTCATCTGCATGTAATCCAAGAAGGCCTTAAAAGCAACACAGTTATTAAGTGCACTGGTTTGTGAACAAGTGTGACCTACATTTATCATTCTATTTCACAAGAAGGAAATAAATTGATCTTCACTGTAGTAAAGAAATAAAAGTAAATTGATTATAAGTTTATTACAACAAGGAGACTTCTAAATTTATTATCTTAACAAGGGTCAGTGGGCTGACAATTAAAAAAAATAATCGTCACCGTCAGACTTGACCTAAGGCTACAGCGACTTAGAACACTAGCTGAGTATTTCAGAGATGGGAATCTCTTGGGTTCAGTCCAAGTTATTTTAGTTGTTGAAGTACGTAGGGGCGTGTTTTAAGTAAATCTACCAGTCTGGCTATGTAGTTTACCAGAAACAATATTAAACCAAATAGCAATATAAATGTAAATTCATTGTGGTGTAAGCAGTTGAGAAAAGTATACTATTAAAAGAGGGAAATATACATTTTAAAGTATACATTAATGACTTCATTTTAATATTATGTCATTGGGAAATAGGCACATATAATTGAAAGACTTCTATTAATGAAGAAATTGATGGGCGAAATAAAAACAATTATTACAATAAAGTAGTAAAATCTTTATGAATTTGAGTTCATAACTAAAAATGTCTTAACATATAAATACAGAAATGCCTTAAAGAAATGCGTTAGCATCAAGTAAATGAAGAGGACTGAGCTGTCCTATGTAGAAGTTGGATTATGCAACATTTATTTTCCTTTCTGAGCAGGTTTTCTGGCCAGCATCTACAATCAAAGTCGAAGAGTGCAAAATGGCTGGCAAAGATCCCACAGTGAGTGCCTAAGAAAACTCTAAAACTTAAATATTTGGTCTTTGAATCCATGTATCTTGAGTGCAGCCAAGAGTAAGACAAAGGGTGTTGGAATTTTTAATCCTCTGCTGGACACATGGTAAAAAATGTAAATGCAAAGAAATTGGAACTCTTAAACACTGTAACTTAGGAATTCCTGACTGGGTAAAAATTTCTTGCCTTGCTTTCATTATTGCATTCTGACATTTTTCATGATGGATTTCAGTAATAACCCCTGTTCTAGTGGATCCAACCTGCGGAATTCTCAGCAGGCCACTGAAATAATGATAATGCAAGTGTCTGGAGAAGCTCCCAGATACCATGTGGGGTTTTCCAAAGAAAGATCTCGGCAAAAGGGTACTGGTGAGCCAGCACATTCCAGAGGCATAAATCACCAATGATTACCGGTATCTTTGTTAGTTAAAAATAGCCACAGAAAGCAAAAACAAGGCAGATATGAATATCAATAAGTGTTCAGTGGGCAACGTTTGTACAAATTGTATATATTTAGGTAAAATTCCATACAATGAATTAAGAAATAAATCTATATGGATTCCTGCAAACAGTTTGCTGAAACTTGAAATTATTCTCAAATATTATAAAACAAAGACATGGAGCAGATCTTTAATGTATACGTTATTTAATTTTATAATGAAGCATTTGTGTCATTTTACCTTCTTGTCTCAAATTGTGAAAAATGTCACAATGAGACCATATATCAGAGTTACCCATTCTTACACAAATAATTTGAGGAAGAAGTTTTATTATGCATTTATTCACTTTTTTAAAAAAATATTTTATTTATTTTATTCATGAGAGCTAAAGAGGGAGAGGCAGAGACATAGGCAGAGGGAGAAGCAGGCTCCCCATGGGAAGCCTGATGTGGGACTCGATCCCAAGACTCTAGGATCACACCCTGAGCCAGAGGCAGATGCTTAACCACTGAGCAACCCAGCTGTCCCCATTTATTCACTTCTTTAGTCATTCATTCAACCAGTATTGATTGAGGCCCTATTCTGTGTCTGGCGTAGTGTTTACTGCTACAGAGGTAATGTACACCAAAATAGACAGTTTGACTCTCCTCAACTTTATGATCCTGCTGGAAAATTCAACATTAATCAAATGAGCATGGAAATATGTGCTTATGCTGATATGAAGTTGAAATATGGTGGTTGGGCAGAAAAACTAGCCTTTGTACACACACATACACACAATCATATCTGAGTCATAAGAAATAACAGCTTTGACTTCACGTAAAAAATGTTGACTAAACACTCATTGTAAGTGTAGAGGTAAGAAATGCTGATTTCAGGGACCAAGGCTATGCACTGAGCTTTGATAGTGAGAGTTTCAGAAATTCATCACGGAGGTTCAAGGAAAAGAGTAATCTTTGTGGAAAGAGGAACTGTGGAATTTAAACTTTTGTTTTCATTGACTCTTAACTGTCCAGGTATGAGGTTCAGAAAAGATCTGGTGCAACACAGGGCCCTGGAAGACTGGTGTGTACTATCTCTGGGTCCCCCGGAGGGTGTTGTTGAGAGTTCACCAGGAGTGACTCAGCTCTGGGTCTCATGTTTTCAGTCTTAAAATTCACCGTTTAAGAGAAATTTTAGAATGGGCAGAAGGAGCTTTCAGAGGCTCCCCACATGATCTGCTGAACCTTACAAAGTCTATAGGAAAAAATCCAGAAAACTGTGTAAGAAACACTCAAAAGAATACAGTATGCTTGTCTTCTAGGGGACAAATAGTAGAAAGTATAATGTTGGAGGGAAGTCTTTTTTTTTTTTCCCGTGAAGCTATTATTTCAGTAAGTGTGCATGAATTTAAATGTTTTCTTTCATTCTCTAATGTAGAGATTTGTCCCACTGATGGATATCCTATTATAGTCTTGCCTTTTGCCACAAGAATATCCTGTGGCTATAATTACTGGATTTTGTTGTCCTCTTTGTTCAAAAAGATTTTCATTTCCCATTCATAGGAACTGTCACAGGTAGAATATGTAGGATTTAGATACCATCATACATTCTCTTTCCAAAGACTGGTGTTGATTTTCAGAAGAATCTTGGCCAAGTCATTTGATATCTTTCTCCCTTTGGCAAAAAACAACTGCACTCATTTGCTTTCTTATAATTAAGAGTCATTAGATGAAATCTTCAATACATGCTTACATTTTCCCATAGTTTTATCATGCTGTAATATCATCCATAGATACCTTTAAATTCTGCTATGCAGCCAATTAGTATACATAATAGAAGTAACTGCTGGAACATTCTGTTCTAGTACAACCAACAGTGTTGGATCCTGGGAAATAATCAAACTAACTCTTCCAAATACATGTTCTGTCTATACAGGAGAAGAGAATGTCTGACAAATACATTTGAAGAAGTACTTCCAATACTTCCAGAGAAGTGTCCCTTAATCAGGCTACAGGAAAAGACCAGCAGCAGAAAAAGGATCCAAAATAGACTTTAGAAACTCTACAGAACAGCATATTTTTATTACATTCATTAATGAAACTAAACTAGAATAAATATCATCTAATACTTAATATTTTATTTAAAAACAGAGGAATTTTAATGTGTACAAATCAGTTAGCTATTGTGAAGGAACCAAAGATGAATAAGATGGAGTTTCTATCTTTAAGAGTTTTTACAATATACTAGAAATGATGAGACATATATGCAATGACTATCAAATAATAATGGCGGACATTTAATGGAATGGGCCAGGCATTGTTCTAGTCTTTCCTTTAATCCTCACAATAATCCAGTAAGATGGACATTATTGTCATCATTCACAGTTTTATGATAAAGAAACCAATCACTAAGAGAATGAGGAACTTACTAAAGCCACCTTGCTAGCAGAGGGGTGGGAGACCGCTATCTGTCTTATGTAAAACATGCCTTCTAACTGGGAAGAATTTGGTAAATTCTAAGGATATACACAAAAGACAAACAACAACAACAACAACAAAAACACTGCAGCTGGGATATTTAGGAAAGGTTTGATAGATTTGTTGGCAACACTTTAGGTCTATGTTAATCTTTTTATTTCATTTCAGTGATACTGAAATTCAAATAAGTTATACTCTTCCTTTTTCAGCCTTTGACACAAAGTACACGTGATTCCCTTCTTATTCAATTATCTTCCCATCTTTTAAGCCTGGCAGTCATCTACTCATCCTCTCAAGTTACAGTGCAAATGTCACTTCTCTAGAAAGTCATGTCTGCCCACCCAGGACTGAGCTAGCTATCCCTCTGTGTATACCTGAAACACTCTGGCACAATGTTGCACTGTGTCACTGCAACTCTCACCGAACTATTTGGAAATACAGTGTAGTGTCATTATTCTTTGTGCTCAGATCTGTATCTAGGCTCTTAATAAAGTTAAACAAGATCTGAAAAAATTCAAAGCAAGCATGGGAATCTGCTCCAAGTGATTGTCAGAAGTTGGGGGTAGGACACGGTGGATGGTGAGTTTATTAATGCCTTCAAGTTAATATTTGTAGAAAATTCATTATGCACATATTTTAGAAGTTCATTTTGGTTAAATTAAAATATTTTGGTTTTATATTATATTAATCATCTACTTCAGAAAAACATAAACTAGTGACAATTAAAGTCCATACTGCAGTAAGCAACTGAAAGAAAATATACAGCATGGACTCAAGCATCTCTTAGTCCTTTGAATTCTTAACATACCAAATTTTAATTAAGAAAGTTAGAAAAAAATAACACTTAAGTATTAGAAAATAATTCAATGTAAGCTAAAATTTGATCCCAGTAATCATATGTCATAATATCATAATAAACAAATGTTTATAAAGAAAATACATGATCATGGTGGGAATACAGCTAATTTTCTGCCTCGCTAAAGAGACTATAACCTGCCTCCCATTTCCCTCTCTACCCCTATGAATTCACATTACTACATGCTCAATTTATTTCTAAATGTTGATATTTTATTCACACTCTAAATAAATTGAGCTTAAACAGTAGCACATGCTGTCAAACATATCCAATGAGATAGGACATAATTAACGCACTAAGTAAATACTGTAAGAGATTGTTGGAAAATTAAGCAGGATTACATATATTTAGACATGTGCATTACATGCACACAATGTCAAACTTTATTTATTAATTGAGGAATATCAGTTTCCCTATTTATGTGACCAGAGGATCCCAAACTACTGGAAAATATATTTTCTTTAGAAATACATTTATCAAAATACCTTGATTTATTGCCCACACTGAAGAAGTGTAGGCCAAGAAGAAAAGAATAAGAGGGACTTTTTTCCCCATTGCTTAGTAGGGGCCATGAAAAGTCAATATTTTTATAGCATTATGCATCTGTGCTCCAGGATATATTTTCAAAAACATTTATGTTAAAATTATATAACAAGTACATGTTCAATACAGAAATCTTTTAAGACCTAGAAAAGCTTGTAAAAAAGCAATAGAAAACAATCTCTTCTTAGCTCTTTGACCCTAGGGACTTACCTCTCTGTGCCTCAGTATTCTTGTCTACATGATGGGTATTCTCATAGTACCTACCATATTGGGTTGTTATGAGGATTCATGAATTAATATTTGAAGAGAGCTTAGAATAGTACATAGCATATAGTATATGGTATCGTACTATTAAGTCAATACAATAAATTCCACTACCTAAATATAATCACTTAAAAATTGTGCGTATATTTTTGCAGCACTGTATTGTTTGAGGGTTATAGGAATATAAATAAAATGGTATTATATTCTGCATAATATTAACAGCCTGATTTTTCATTTAGCTTTGTACCAGGAAGCAGTTTTGAAAAAGAAGTAAACAATAAAACAAAAGTAAAAAAAAAAAAAAAAAAAAAAAAAGCATTCACGGGATTGCACTTCATTGAAGGTTCATTCTCCAAGCCTGTCATAGATGTCTGCTATGGTCAGGACCTGAACTAAGCTCTGTTCAGGACACCAGGTTTTTTCTGACACTTAAAATAAAAACTACATATGGAAGCATCCAATATATGACACTGTGGGTATTTATCATGCGCAGACACTATTTCAAGTGCCTTATTAGTATATTGCCCACAACAAATGTTATCATCACCATTTTACAGATTAAAAGATTGAAGCACAGAGAGGCTAAGTAAATGTTCCAAGTTCAAACAGCTACTGAAAGGTAAAAATAGAGATTGAACCTAGGTCAGTTGGCTTTGAGATTTGTACACTTAAATCCACTGTCTACTGCCCATCTGAAGACTATGGCATGATGACAGACCAACTCTAATTGCCTCTCTGGTTTCATCACATAGGAATTCACTGTCCCCTCTAGGCACCACTTCCCAAGTAAATCCTGCTCTGTCATGCCTCCATAATTTTGTTCATGCTCTTTTTTTTTTCTGTCAGAAAGCCCTGCTCTTTGCTTACTCTTTTGCTTGTCAAAGTATCTAGCTTATTCTTCAAGTTCCAGCTCAAATGACACCCCCTTTCAAGCCCTTACACCCAGGTCGTCGTTATTCATTCTCTCTTCTCTCTTCCTACAGCATATTTTTGAAAAATATAACTCTATTATAGCATCAATAGAGCCTCATGTATTATGGCTTCCTTGCTTAGAAGGATAAATTGAACCTATTCATTTCAGTGTTGTTGGCACCAGATGCAGTGTTTACGTAGAACGTGTTTAGTAAATATTTGCTGCATAGCATTTATATATGATTGCTATGGTGAAAATCAGAAATAATATGGATAAAAACTATAGAAATGGAAGAGACCTAGAAAGTGATTTTCAGTAATTAACTGATTTGTTTATTCTCTGTATTTTTCTCTGTGAGGAAGGTTGGAGGGGCACACTGGGCATCATCAGATAGTCTGGTATCGGTCTCATGGTTAATCCACCCCTTTCTTTAGAAAACCTGGATGGTGGAGGGTAGTCATGGTTCAAGACCCAGCTCAGTAACTTATTAAAGCTAGAACACTTCATTTAACCTCTTTGGGGCTCAATTTCCTCATCACTAAAATGGAACTAATACTTTAATTGGAACATTGCTCTGAAGACTAAAAATAATAACATCAAAGGATTAAGAGCTCTATAAACATTAATAAATTATAAAAACTCTCCTCTACCAACTGTGGATTCCTCACCCATTGACAAATTATAAAGTGATTAAAAGTACAAGATTCGATGTTAGACACATTTGTGTTTGAAAGTCTCTTTTACTTTTTCTAGCTCAGTGATGTCAAGCAAATTAACTGAAAAAAAGCTCTAAGCTCTATTCTCTAAAAAGAGTTGAGTTGTACAAAAATGAACAAATGTGAAGTGCCCACGTGGCATAAGGAAATTCAGTAAGTGTGAGCTGTCAGGGTGAAAGAAATCAAACCTCCTGGGAAGTAAAACTGGTTAAATGTATAAAATGATCATTCCAAAGTCTAGCATATAATAAATTCTCAACAAATGTTGACCATAATAAGTAGATAGAAAATAGAAAGTAGAGAGAGACAGAAACACATACATGAAACAAGTATAATCTGTATTTGAAATATAGAACACATTAGTGATGTCTTTCTTTTTATCAATACCAGTCATTCATGACAGTAAACTGTTTGCAAAACTCAAGACAACATATAATCTATTATTAATAGAATTGAAGTCTTGTCTTATACGAGGAAATAGTATATACAGGATCCCAGAGTGACTAAACTTGGATGTGAAAAAAATAAACCCAAGTCTCATGGCTCACAGGTACCCTTAACATAGACGTATTACATAAACACCGTACTTCATCTATTCTTTTTCTACAGAGAAACACATTGTCATTTGCAGTTACATAGTCAATTTCCAGGTACCTCTATAAACAGGTGTCAAGGTACAGCGACACTATATATTTAACAAAAATTCTTGATGTCTTGAAATAAAAATAAACTGTATAGTCTCGTCTGTAAGGATTAATTTCTTTGACAGCAGAGCTAATGATTGATTACTTCATAATAAAATCCATAATAGAAACATGTATAAAATTTCTACATATAAAAATAAGCATGTATTTGCTGGCAAGTAATAATATAAAAGGAGAAAATTATGAGAGAATATAAAATAATATTGATTATAAATTAAACTTGACTTCTACTAAAAAAAATTAACTTCCACTTTAACAGAATTGGCTATTGGTTTTACTTTCCTAATAACATAAATATTAAATGTGCTTATAAAATTTAGTAATATGGTGCCTAAAGGAGAAAAAAAGAAATATATGCTGTCTGACCACCCATGGGAAATCAGTTACCTTTTAATATATTTATTTATTTTAAAAATTGTCTTTAATTTATAACATTATTTTAATTTGTGGGTTTTTTTTTAAAAGATTTTATTTATTTAAGAGAGAGAGAGCACAAGCAAGGGGAAGGGCAGAGGGAGAGGGACACACAGACTCCCTGCTGAGTAGGGCGTCCAATGCAGGCTTGAGCCCAGGACCCTGGGACCATTACCTGAGCTGAAATCAGACACATAACCCACTGAACCACCCAGGCAACTCTATGGCATCATTTTTAATGATGTTCTTAGGGAACAAAAATTGCCAAAGAAAAACAACATACAATCTCAGGCTTGCTTAATTTGTAGTCAGCGAGGGATAGCAAACATGCAATGATTAATCAGGTACAGAGATCTACCTTTGATGCTGACTGTTTACATACTTGCAAGATCATAGTCAACTTATAATTACAGTGATTATTTTGCATTTCATTGAGTGAACAAATGACAACTCTTTCAACAGTGGGACTAGAAGCAGGTGAAAAAGAAAATTGGGGAAGAATGTATTTTTTGGAGATGAAGGCCAGAGAGGTCATGATTGTATCAAGCGCTGGGATTTGTTTAGTCTGTTTATTCACCAGCGTAAAAGCCCATAGTGTTGGGGACACCTGGGTGGCTCAGTGGTTGAGCGTCTGCCTTTGGCTCAGGGCCTGATGCTAGGGTCTGGGTATCTAGTCCCCCATCTGGCTCCCTGAGAGGAGCCTGCTACTCCCTCTGCCTGTGTCTCATGAATAAATAAATAAAATATTTCAAAAAAATAAATAAATAAAATAAAAATAAAAGCCCATAGTGTTTGCCATTGTGTGCTAATGATGACATTGACGTTGTATAAGCACAGTTTCGTTCCAAATATGTTTCTATAATGTGTGTGTATGTGTGCATGTAACATTTTGAGGAAAATTTAAGGACACAATTGGGTGTACTTTCCCATTTCTCAACTTTCTCAGATAAAGAGTAAGCTCATAAATATTCAGAGTGCAAAAACTTACACAGTGTAGAAAATATTGAATTCTGAGAAAGACATGCCACTTACTCATTTCTAAGCTATCTTCTTCATGAAGTAGACCAGCAGAACCAACCATGTTGTTCTCTTGTCCTCTCTTAACAACAAGAAAAAGGTGAGAGCAGAAAGGAAAATTTATAGCGGGGTTATGACCATTCTGCTTAGAAACAGCAATAAAAGTCATCATATTACTAACCGCATCTTCATCTGTCCCTTTAGCACGGCTGTGGGAACTTCGTCCGGGTCATTCAGGCTTTCAACCGAACTCACTTGTATGTCTGTGGGAGTGGTGCTTTCAGCCCCGTGTGTACTTATTTGAATAGAGGGAGGAGATCAGAGGTAAGTGTAACCATTTTTCATCGTTTGTTTTGGTGTTACTGTCAAAGATTTCTTAAAACTCTATTGGAGGCTAAAAAGTTGGAAACATCATCAATAGTCATGAAAAAGTTTCTAGTCCTTTGAACTCAAAATATATCACATTTGCTTACTGTCGCCCAAGTTGCTTAAAGTGTAACTTTTGCTTTCAACTAAATATATAGATATATGAATATAAATATGAATAAATATTCATATATACAAATATGAATAAACATATGAGTGAATATTCATGTCTATGAATAAAATGGCTGCAAAAGATAAAGGAAAGAAAAATGTAATTTTATGATTATTTAGAAAAGAATGTATTGATACTGTTTGCTTCACATTATGGAATATTGTAGTATAAACTCTTTCTTAAAGTTATTTTAAGTAATTTCTTATTTAACTTTCAAATTTGGTAAACTTTGATAAGATACACAAAAGGGATAGATAAAGCAGGATGCCAAGTGACTTTGCTGGAAAGAACTTTCTATAATTAATAGATCATACTTTCATTTTAAAAAACATTAGTCTACACTGGGCTTTTCTAGCTTTATTCTTACATTGGTTAAAATGATTTGGGGTTCTGTGAACAAAAAAAAATTGCTACACACTAGGTATATACCTAATGCGAAGACAAATGCAAGGTTGGTTGAACTTCACCTATGGTATATAAAACCATGTTTATCTCAGTTTACAGTTATTTACTAAGGAAAATATGCAGTAGATCACAAGAGTTTTTCCTCCTTCCTTTAATTGAGCACGTTGAGCATGTTGTTTTACTAAATAGAAGCATTTTAAAAACCTTACTATTTCAAATTACCTTGCTTTGTTTTCCTTATGCAACTTAAATCTAGAATATCCAGTACATAAATAATATCTTAATTCAATTTTAGAGATTAGAACTCTAAAAAAGATTAAATATTGCTACTGATATACCTTATTAAGTTTATTTTCCTTTAACAAAGATTAATGTACTCTTAATACAAATATAATTAAACAATGATTCTCTTTATATTACTTTATTTTTTTTCAGACATGTAATTTATACACACATATCTTTCGGTAATTAAAAAGTCACTTAAAAATAACTGATTAATTATAAGTTGACCCCAAAATTAGGCAATTTCAAGTGGTTCAGGATGATATGAAATATTACAATTCTTAAAGAAAAGTAAAGCTATGCTTCTTGGAAGAGTACAGTTGGCTGCATTGAGCTTGTCATTAGAACCACATGCCTGTGATCAATTGATTAAATAAACTACTGCCCCAGACGTCTGCAATCTGTCAGACACTCCACTGAAGGCTGTGCAGTCACTGTACAGGCCAACAATAGCATAGCAGTTTTCAGAGCACAGATTTCAAATAAAATCATTTTCCCATGTACAAATTGCCCACTATGCACTTCAAGGCTTAATTGGAAAGTCAGTCTAAAAAATAATCTCCTTTGGAAAGCCAGCATGGAATAAAAATTTAATCACTTTACTATAAATGAACTACTGTAGTCTCACTTCAAAAGGTATATTTCAAAGGGGAAGCATTTCCATTAATTAATCTCTTTAAATAATCTGTGAACATCTTAAGAGCCAATTTAAGTATGAAAAGGGTTATGAATTTAAACTTTGTATATAGTCAATTCAAGTCAAAGGGTTTCATCATAACATCATTTTTTATATTTCTGTTTATATAATAACATAAATATAGAGGATAATCTATCAAACATCTACTGTATTTATTTTCTTTAGTTGAAGATACAAAATCGCCAAGCATAAAATGACCACATGATACAGAGAGTTGTATTTTGAGTTAATTTTCCTCATCCCAAATAACGTTGTTGTTTTGTAATGACCAGAGGTAGTACTTACTGGTAACACCATGTGCTTATACTAAGATAAGGCGTTTTTCCTGTATTTCAAACCAGTTTTAGGGTAGCACAATCATTACTTACTTTTATTTCTGAGACACTATATACCACCTTCTATCTGCTTGTCAGAGCTTTTCCAGAGCATTTCAATGTTGCCCACCCAAAGAGCCTACGAATCCTTGGCTGCATCAATTCCTAACCATGGTTCTTCTCTCACTATCTTTGTTCTCTGTCTTCTGTTCCTAGAAAAAGATAAAGCAACACAAGTAAATAATGACTTGAAATAATAAATAAAACATTAATTTAAAAACTATAATTGATTAATTTTGCTGCACATTCTTGGAATATTACTTCATTTCATTTCTGGTTGATTTTATCAGATGTCTCCATCTATTGGTTCCAGCAGTTGAATATTTAAGTCCCTGACTCTGTTGATCATCAAGCAGATAACCTTACCTTTGAACGACCAAGAATATCACAGGCATTCAAATTATTTCCTGTGCCTTTTGAAGCAAATTAGTCACCATACTTTTCTGCGTATGCATCTTTTCCTAGCTTTCCTCTTGTCAGAAGAAAAGTTGTGCATTTTCCTTATCAGTAAAGTTTTTTGATCAATAACTTTCATTATTCTGTTTTATATCTTTGTTTTCTTTCTTCTGCATTTACTGTTTTTCCTGTTTTAAAATAAGAGGTTTCTTTTCCTTAAAATCGTCATCTCAGATCTTTGACTTTTTCAACTCATTCTTTTTCTCTCTTTTACTTATCACAAAACTTCTCAAACTAGTAGACTATATTTTCAGCTTTTATATTTTCATTTTTCGTGTCATTATCAAACATTTCTGATATTACTTACATTACCACCTGTGAACTAAAACTATTTCCTGGTGACCAAGATTCCTTAATGATCAAACTGACTCCTAACCAGTCCTTTCTCCTAGACCAATCTCTATAACATGTTGGTCATGCCCTCTTTTTTTCAATGCCTTCATTGACATCTACAGCCATGGGACATTTTGCTGTGCTTTCTTTCCTAGTTTTTCACCACCTACTCTCTTTCTTTCCTATTTGTTTCTCCCATTGATCCAATCTACCAATGTGTATTTATTTAATGAGAATAATGGCAGAAACGAAATTATGTCAGAACTTGTTAAGCTACCTTTAAGATGTTGGTCTTTATCTTCTGGTCAAAGGAGAAGCAACTGTAATGATCTTAAGCAGAATATGGCATAGGAAGCATTGTGTTGTGACTTCGGTATTAGGTTACAAATGATTTAGGGTGGGAAGGGGTTGAGACGGCTGTATGAGAACAGTTAGTGGATATAATAGACCAAGAAATAAACTATTTTAATAGGCTAAGAAAGAAAGAGAATGGCAATAAGACAGAAAAATAGCCATTAAGTATAGAATAGTATAGTTAATACTGGTAGATTTAGCTGCAGAAAAGGAAATTTGCAATGATATAGATATTGATATTTTTGCTGTTTGTTTGTTTTTTTATTTTTGGCCTTTTCAATTATATATTTGTCATGAGCTGAGCTGATAAACAACAAGGAGAATCAGGTGTGAGTTTAAGATTTTAAGCCTGGGCTTTGTTCTTTTGAGTTTGAGTTGCTGTTGAAAAATCCAATAGAAAGGTCAAGTAGGCCATTGAATATAAAATTGGCTATATAAATATTTGAGTCATTCTTTTATAAGAGTACTGAAATCCAGGCAATGTTTGGGTTTAATCATGCAGAAAGGGTATAGTATGAAAAGAGAGGTGTGACTGTGGTTGAGACTTAAGGGTCTCTTAATTTAATGACAAGATGGAAGAGAAGGGACCTTCAAACATGACTAAGAAGAAATAGCCAGGAAAGAAGAAACTCTCAAGCAGGGGGGAAGAAACCAAAATGTGTTCATTCTGGGAGTAAAAATAAGTCTTTAAAAATATAGAAATGGTCAACAATCTCAAATATCATTGAGAATCTAAAATGAAGTCTAAAAAATTAACACTAAATTGTGTAGCGTGGTTGCCATTAGGATAGGCAAAGGGCTTCAATAGAACAATTGAAGTTGAATGTCCAATTGAAATGGATTGAGAAAAAAGTGGAAAGTCAGGAAATGGTGATGAGTATAGGTAATTCTTGAAGAAAGAATTGTGATTCTCAAGGAGAGTAATGTGTAGGAGCTGAACGGGTTGTTTAAAGGATGATGTAAAAGTTCCAGTTAATAAGATGCAAGAGAGAGGATAACAACAAGTATAAGTTGCCTAAGAAGACTGGATATGATGAGGCCCAAGACATTGGTGGAATGATTGGCCTCAAAGTAAAAGAAAGAGTTCCTCTCAGGTGCTAGTGGATATATCCGTTTATATTTATTTATGTGTTTGGTAGTGAGAAGTTGAAGATGTCTCATTTAAAGGCTTCACTTATTCTACAGTCATATGCTCAATCATTTGTTAATCATTTGAATTGAGAACAAGTTAGGTGATTTGACTATAGTGCATTGGTTTGAAATTATTAATGGAAGAACCAGTTGATAAGAGTGCCCATGAAAGTTTACTGAGCAGTACAGAGGATCCATTTTGTGTTGGTGATCACAGATCTATATTATGCTGAATCTACCTTGTTGGATGATCTTCTGCAAAATACTTAGATATTTGGACACAAGTATGGAGAATGTGTAGATAGACATGCCCTTCTGGGCTGTGGTTTCAATGGAAAAAATCACAGATTCAAGGAACTTAATATTTCTGCAAAAAATTTAATGGAATTAAATAGCACAGAATCTAAACAAAGAAAGTCCAGAAGAGAGAAGGCTGATGAAGTTGTTACGGTTCTTGGGAGATGAAATTGGAGAATTGTTGCTACGTGCTTGAATTAGTGATTATTCAGGTAGACCACACTCTTCCTGGGGACAAGATCTAGACTCTGTGAAAAAATATGCTGTACGATGGAGGAATAGGTCAGTGGAGAGCAAGTGGTACCTAAGCAATTCCATCAATTCTTGCAATGCCAACTCACTTTTTAGTAAAATATATGTACATCGCTGGCTAAATAATCACAACTAGCCTTACTAAATGTTATTATTTTCCTCAATTATTTGTTTAGTTTAGTCATTGTATAAATACTGACTTTTTGGAAAACAGACATAATGAGTTAGACTGAATTTTAGTTTTACTTTTGTCATTATTTAGCTACATGATCTTGGTGGGCAAGTTATATTTTCCTCATCTATAGAGTTAATTCATGGAAGAGGATCATTTTTGAAAGACCTTTCCAAGCTAAAGGACCGTGTTTCTTTTTAAGTAAGCTCTTTGATTCCCTATCATCTCAAGGATGTCCTGCCAACACATCAAACTCAATATAACAAAAAGGAACTAATTTTATTTTCCTTAAAGAGTCAAAACTTCAGAATCATCTTTTTTTTCTTCATCTTTCTTAAGTACATCCAATTTGTAATTGATTGCCAAGCTCTATTGATTTTTATTTGACAACCTCTCTTGCATTTTTACTGCTCTTACCATGATCAGTGAGATCCTGGCATGTCAAATTATTATTACCTAATTCCTGGACTATTGCAATTGAAAACAAATCTACTTCTTCAGTCCAGTGTCTGTTTTTAAAACTACCATTCTCAATCTTCTTAAAACACCAAGGTAAGGCCCAATCTTCTTAAAGCAGTGTTTACATCTTTTCAATTCCATACTCAAAAATACTGAGCCTGAATTTCTCTCAGGAAAATATTCAAAAACCTTAGCTTGATGATTAAGATCCTCTGTCATCTAATGAAATCTACAAAAGTGAAAACTTTTGTCTTTCACTTTTAGTAGTAGCTTTTACTAACTTTATTTAAGAAAAAAGGGTAAGTATACCAACAAAATATTCCCTTCCTGTTAGGCTATACTGACCATCATATTTCAGATTGGATCATTGCCTCCAATCCCTGGAGTTTCCAACTTCTGTTCTCTGCTTAATTTTTCTCCTAATGACTGAGCACCATCTAACATATTATATATTTTGTGCATTTATTATTTTTATACTTACATTCTCTATCTTTGTATTAAAAAATTACTTGAGGATAAAGATTTTTGTCTGTATTCCTAATGTTTTGTTGGTACCTGGCATATATAGTAAATGCTCAATAATTTTTTGTTAAATAAATAAATAATAAATGAATGAATAGAATTTCATAATTTTAATTTCAATCTAAATTATGAATTCAACTTCATTGAATTTAGCATAATGCTTATATAACAAAATTAAGTGATAATATAAATTTTATATTTTAGAAATATCTTGATTATTCTAGAAATATTATAATCCTTATATACATTATTCCTCTGTGCACAGTTTTCTTCTTTGGGCAAATTTTTTGACACATCTAGTTCAGGTTTACAATGACCCTTGATTCCCAGGTGGTTTGTGCTGATACTGAATTTTTTTTTTCTTTCTGATAATTGATTTGAGGAGAACTTGTTGTATCAGCTTTACGGGAATGGTAGTAGGATGAGAACTTCAACCTGCTGAAGTTTGCTTATAATCTACAGATGTTTTCTTCCTACAGGCCAAAAAGTCTTAATAAAGTAAATCGAGAAGGCGTAAGGAAACAAATAGGAAGCATGTTATTTAGATTATGCTTTGTTTTACTAAAGAACAAATTGGTTAACTAAATACACAGTTATTTATTATTCTACATTTGTATCTTATCTATAATAAAGGACCAAGTGTTTGTGATTGACTCCAAGTGTGAATCCGGAAAAGGACGCTGCTCTTTCAACCCCAATGTGAACACAGTGTCTGTTATGATCAGTAAGTGGAAAATAAAAGAGGGAGGGGGAAATACAAATTAAAAGGAAATTAAAGAAAATAAATTCCTGACACAATATACCCATCTGGATAGTAGCATGAATGATAGTCTGAGTGAGGTAACAGAAAGTTGTGAGCCGACAAATTGTAGTTTTGAAGTTGCAAGAATTCATGATTACATGATAAGCATGGATTTTTTTTCATTCACTATGATGATGCTGTCATTTCTAGAGCAGGTTAACTATTTACAAACAAGTATGTATTCATATACATGTAATAATATATATTATAAAGTAATTTTTAATATTATCTGTAGTTGTTTTTCTAGTATTATGTGTGCCCATTTTCCCTCATATTTTAGTAATGTTTGACAAATATTTAAAGTGGTATTTCTTTGAAATGAAAGAATAACATAGTGCATGTACTAGCCAAGTACATTCTCTGGGACTTTCCAGAAGTTGCTATAATTAAAAGAGGTGGTGGTAAAATCATCCCCACTCCCCTCGTCATTTTCTACAAAATATATCAGTTAAGAAGCAGGCCCAATTGCTTGCTGCTACATCCATTAACAAATCGTTGGATGCCTTTCTATAATGCAGTTAAAGACATTCTTTGCTGGTTAATTAAGACACTTCCAGTATATGTCTGACTTAACATGAGTTGATGGTGGGGACAAATCTTGGATTTCAGTGTGTTGCTTTTTCCCCTTTGCTTTCTCTATGTATTGCCAGTGGAAACTTGTATTATTTGACAATAGAACAGGTGACAAGATAATTATTGTTTTGGGAGCACTTTGCTTTTATTCATTTAATGAAGCAACCCATCTCTCTTTCTCATTTTTGTTTTTTTCTTTCTTTCTCATATTTGGAAACTAAATTAAGACAGGTATATCCAGCACTGACTAAATTGTGAACTTGGAAGTTCTCCAGTGAGTTATTTCCATATGGTCATTTCAAATTAGACAGAGAGGAGGTGAAAGTATACCATTGGGACCAAAAATTAGAAAGCTCTGAAATTGCAAGACATTCAATTATGTCTGATGCAGGAACTTTTCAGATAAGCTTCTGAATATTATTTAATAAAAGCAATATCTTGGAAAGTATTTCCATTAGGAAGAAAATTGTATTCACCTATCAAAATGGTATGATATATATAATACTAATACTAGCTAAATATGTAGAGTTTTCACTTATTTCAGGTTAAGTGCTGTGAAAATAAGCTTCAAAGATCTGTGAACACTAATAGTCATCAAATATCATTTAGAACAAGAAAGGTTTAAAACAGGACTTTATAAATGTTCCTGTTAAACTGTGATAAGCCCTTAGTTTTGTCCTTAGAGAATTGGATTTGTTTACAAAATTAAAGTTAGTTACTGACTTTCATTTTTCAAGGATTTGGGATTTCAGTTTCCATACTTACATTCTTTTTTAAAAAATTTATTTATTTATTTATTTATTTATTTATTTATTTATTTATTTATTTATGAGAGAGAGAGAGAGAAAGAGGGGAGGAGCTGAAGGAGAGGGGACAAACAGATTCTGCACTGAACTTGGAGCTCCTTGCAGGGCTTGATTTCACAACCTTGAGATCATGACCTGAGCCAAAATCAAGAATCAGTCACTCAACTGACTGAGCCACCCAGGAGCCCCCATCTTTTAATATTTTGATTAATATTAGGACTTAAGCTATCAAAGAGTCATTATACTATTTGCTTACCTTAAAAACTGAAACTAAAAGGAGGAATAAGTTTAGTAACTTGTATCTGTCATTTTATTTGTTCTACTGATTATCCCTCTAAAATTATCTCCAACCTTATCTCCAATATTGCACAGTGAACTTGTGTAGTCATCTCACTTTGCCATGCGAGTTTTTCATTTCTGTTCTGTTGCAAGGCACTAAATAACAGAGATTGTTTTAAAGTATTTCTATATGTTAAAGTACCAAGAAACAGAGAATTGAAGAATTCCAAATTTCATAATATACAGTGGCATCTAGGCCCATGTTCAAGTTTAGTGTTTTTTGCTATTTTTCATGTCATTGTTGTAGCACAGCAAGAAGTTGGATGATATTAAAGATCCTATTAAGAGCTTCAAGAAAAAAAAAGAGCTTCATGAGGTTCTTCTGGTCAGTGGAAGTAAAATTGGAAGGCAAAGGATTTTTGGATTAAAGTTAAAAGGCACAAGTTTATTTTTGCATAAGTCAACACATTCTGAAAAAAACATCCTTACTCAAAATTCTGCTTAAAGTGATATTAATTATTTTTTATATTAATTATTATACAAAATAAAGCAAAAACTTCATTATTCCCAACTTGCTATTGAAATGAATAAGAGGAATACCTGACTGTCTCTGTTGGTTAAGCATCTCCGGCTCAGCGGGAAGTCGTCCTCTCCCCACCCCTGCTCTTGTGCTCTCACTCTCGCTCTCTCTCTCTTCCTCTCAAATAATAAAATCTTTAGAAAAATTTTAAAAAATGAAATTAATGACAATTTAAGCCAGAATATGAAGCCAATTAGACAGGTAGGCTTTTATAGTGGTTAAGACATAATTAATGAGGTGGTGTGCAGTAGGATTGGAATCAGCTCTCTCGGCCATACAATGTCCTCTGAGTGTCCTTTTTCCTTCTCATCCTGGAAACAGATCTGATAATGGAGAGCTATGCTAATCAATCTACTGAATAGCAAGAATTTATAACCCACCATTTTGGGGGTAATCTGGTATAATTAAATGTGAGACAATTAATTACAAAGTTATATTAATTTAATAACCACTGCCTTGGCAGATTGCTTGTGCAGATGCTTCACAGATGTTCACAGAATTTTAAAGAAGCTAAATTGCTCAAAATGTTTTCATGAACATTTATTATCTTCCTATAATCTGTTCCCATGGGCACCAGAGCCCTACTAGGAAGCAGAATTGGGCAACACAGTGCTTGCCATACCCATTTGCTGACTGGTAAGGGTCCAGCTCATCACCTTGTGAGCACATGTTAAGAACATTTCATTCTCCATTCTGTCCTGAGTTAACTGGTATTGCTTCTTACTAACCAGTGGATTTGGAATGCTTCAAAATATTCCAGTCCTGCCAAAATGACCATGATCTGAAGACAGCCAGGGGAGTCATTCTAGAACATCAGTCAAAGGAAAAAGCAGCATAGTGGTTTAGTGGGTCAGACCTGATACATTTTATTCCTTTTTTAAATAGACATGTAACTACTATTTTTTGTTCCTAGGGTCACACATACCAATTCAATGCTTACTGTCCTTACCAGGGTAGAAATTAATGTGAACCTTAAGAAATAAGTCCAATGTCTAATGTTATGCAAATACGGATTAAAATATCCTAGTTTGCCATTAATGATGATAATTATATTGAAAATATATTTTCTTTCTTACATCTACTTTCTATTTTTTATGGCTTAATATGTTAAACTATATGTGGCTTATTCACGTAATATTTATTTTTAGCATAATGGTAATATATTGTGTGCTACAATTGAAAAAGTAGCACTTTCTTTACCTTATAGAAAATTTCTAGCACTACAAATTAAATTTTACTTTTAATGATACCATAACTTTATCATAGGGATGGCTGGGTGGCTCAGCACTTGAGCCTCTGCCTTTGGGCCAGTGCATGATCCTGGAATCTTGGATCAAGTCCCGTGTCGGGTTCCCTTCGTGGAGCCTTCTTCTCCTTCTGCCTGTGTCTCTGCCTGTCTCTCTCACTGTGTCTCTCATGAATAAATAAATAAAAACCTTAAAAAATAACTTTATCATTAATAATATTTTGACAATAAAAACTAATATTTTCAATCTATTTAGTGAAATCATGGAATTTTTTGTACGTGGCAAAAAATTTTGAGATCATAACGATCATTCCCATGTTTTACAAATAAGAAGGTAGAGAGAGATTCAGAGTGCTAAACGATTTAGCCCTAATTTCCACTTACTTAATTCTTGTCAAAATTAGAAACTGAGCATTCTCTTACAGTATTTTTTATTTATTAAAAGAAAGTAATAATTAATGAAGCCATTTTGTTATCTTTTATGCACATATTATTTCTGCCATTCTTGATACACATTGTATCACCTTAGGTTTTTAGTATAATTAAGTATAGGCAGAGGAATTTTTATTTTTATGTAGAATAAAACTCTTTTGATAATCATATAGGCAAAAATGAGACTAGATTAAATTTTATCCAATTATTTTATTTAATGAACAATGGAAACCAACAATTATAAGCACTCCGTCATGTGGGTGATTACCTAATAAGTGAGTTCTCCTTGATTTTTAAAAGAACCTTAAAAAACATTTAAAATTGTGTTGACATTTTCTTACTTTATCATAGATGAGGAGCTATTCTCTGGAATGTATATAGATTTCATGGGCACAGATGCTGCTATTTTTCGAAGTTTAACCAAGAGGAATGCAGTCAGAACTGATCAACACAATTCCAAATGGCTAAGTGGTAAGAAACAGTTTATGTACCCTGAGAATCATGCTTTAAACTAATTTAATTCTATAATAAAGAAAGATTAAAAAATTAGCTGTGATGTAACAATTCTGTACTCTATGATTTTAAATATTTAGGATAAATAAATAATTGAAGTAGTCCATACTTCATATTCTAACTCTTTGTTAACCATCATGTAATTATCATAAGATATATTACAAAATAAAAATGACAATAGCATATTAAGTATGCTATTTATTTATTTAGTCTGAATTTGTCGATTTTAATTATGTCAAATCTTAAAATCTTCTTAAATTTATAACAGATATTATGACTAGGATTTTTTTGGGAACTCCTCACATTTGTTTTATACTTAGATTCTTAAATTATAAAACTGGTATATATGATTTTTAATAATTTTATTTAGTACCTAATAGAAATCATAGATATGATAACTATGATTAACACTATTCACTTGTTTCTAATTTTGGGTGGAATCACATGAAATTCACATCATGAAAGATGTTCATTTGACTTTAATGTACAGTTGCAATCAGTTCCTGCTATTTAGAAGAAGAAGAAACCACTAAGATCTTTGTCATTTCACCCTGGGGAGGATTTCTAGCTGACCCTGAATTTGGCAATTCACTTAACATTGCACAGTGAAGCATGAATCACCCAGTTTAGCGTCTTAGTTCACTGATAGACAAGCACAAGAAAGCATTGATTGTCCATTTACTTCTTCAATTTATGAGTCGAGTACATCTGGAAATGGAGTATTCTAAAACTTGTTTTGTTCTTGAAATAAGGAATCCCTCTATGTCTTCAAATGACTGCATTTTTTTCCTTGAAAAATTTCCCCTTCATTTCATATGCTGTATTTTAAGGAAAACTATTTTTCAGATCTTGGACTCCTGACTGCACATTCTGCTTCAATGAATTTGAGTTTTTATGCACTAAATTGAAAGCTATACTTTGAAAGACAACCTTTTTTTTTTTTCCCTATAAAGTGACCATTAGATTTCATGGGAAATAACTGGTAGAAACGCTTTCTAATTTTTAGAACTTCTCAGTGCATAAAGAATTTTGGCATTTACTGAGCTTTCAGAATGTATTGCAGACAGGGAAAAAAGTAGTTTAAGCTGTTAAGTTAACGGATATATTTTGTGCCACTTGACACTGCAAACAAAGTATGTTGTGTGAATACAATTCCCGCGGTTAGACTGTGCCTTTGAAAATGCAATTGTGCTTCTGTACTAAAATGGAGAAGGCATATGCCTGTGGTCTACTTAGATGAACAGTAGGTGCATCTCCATCATGAGTATAAATATAGTCTTTGTATTTTTTTCCAGAACCTATGTTTGTGGATGCACATGTCATCCCAGATGGCACAGATCCAAATGATGCTAAGGTGTACTTCTTCTTCAAAGAGAAACTGACTGACAATAGCAGAAGCACAAAACAGATTCATTCCATGATTGCTAGGATATGTCCGGTAAGTATTAAACTTGTCCTAATTTTAAAAATTCAAATTTGAATTATATGGATATGGGTTTCTTTTTTTTTTTTTTTTTTTTTTTGGCCAATAGTTTATTTTCCTACTTTTATCTATGGTTACAAATGAATGAAATATTGAGAGGAGACATTTTATTTTAATGTTTATTTACATCAATCATACGAGATAAGCTTAATTCAAGGAAAGATAGTGGTCATGATTCTGCACAAAAAATGGTTTTGTGTAATTTTTGTTTTTCCATTTAATGCATTTGCATTAAAAACAGCTAACTTAATTGTGTGTTACAAAAGAAACAGAACAATTCTTGTGAATAAAATACAGCAAAACCTCAATAAAGACAATCATTGAGAAACTGCAACAGTGATAAGTAGGAAATGCATTAGTAAAATACAGTCCTAATTATAAACAGTAAACAAAATATTCTTGTATATAAACAGTAAGCATACGTAGCAACTCAAGAAAACTCATGGTGCCCTCTCATAAAGGAGTTTTATAGGTTTGCCCTGACTTGTTTATGGCTAGCATACTTTGTGCAAAAGTGCTTCTTAAAGTGTCCAGTGTTTAAAATAGTTTATTTTTAAATATTGCAATATTCCACTGATTGTGGAGCTCATCTGCTTCTCAGTCATTTGGAACAAGGCAGGAAAGTCTGCAGAAGGGTTCCTGAAAGACTTCTGGGTATACAGGGAAAAAATCCGTAGAGACTATTTGTGAATGATCCAAATGCCTTTTTCCTGGCCCTGGCCAGAAAAAAATATATATGTAGGTATCTGATTGGAAATACTGAGGATTAAATGAATAATAGCAGAGAAATGAAGGATAGAAAATAGAACTATTAAGATACCTGGGTGGCTCAGTGGTTGAGCGTCTGCCGTTGGCTCAGGTCATGACCCCGGAGTCCTGGGATCAAGTCCTGCATTCGCCCCCCTTCCCCCCGGAGGGAGCCTGCTTCTCCCTCTGCCTGTGTCTCTGCCTCTCTCTGTGTCTCTCATGAATAAATAAATCTTAAAAATTAAAAAAAAAGTATTGAAGACCGTTTGGTATAGGTATAAACCCACTTTCCTGAACACAGTAGAATATGCAAGCTTCGCTGTATATAGTAATTTATGTTCATATTGAAAACAATGAGTTATTAAGGCAAATTAAATTATGTATTCTTCAGAACATTTTCCAAGTACTTTCATCACATACTGTTAAATTTAGAAAGCTTTAGGGCATATAAATTTCAAAACATTTTCTGTTATTATCCTACTGTAGAGAATTAATAGTATAGCTATAGCTGTTTTATAAAATGCTTTTGATCTTAAATATTCCTCCTTGTTGCTGTGCAGATATAGTTAACATTTCCACCCTCCAGATTATAACAAATCCTCAAGTAATACACATCTAAGCTGAGTTTTTTTTTTTTTAAGATTTTATTTATTTCAGAGAGAGAGAGAGAGATCACAAGCAGGGGGGCAGGCAGAGGGAGAAGCAGACTCCCTACTGAGCAGGGAGCCTGATGCAGGTGCAGGTTGGATCCCAGGACCCCGGGATCATGACCTGAGCCAGAGGCAGATGCTTAACCGACCAAGCCACCCAGTTGCCCCACTAAGCTGAATTTGTAATACACTTTAATATTTCTTTAAGCAATCTGAAGTGTGTTTTCAAAATGGTTTCAGAATGACACTGGGGGACTGCGCAGCCTTGTCAACAAGTGGACAACCTTTTTGAAAGCGAGGCTGGTGTGCTCTGTGACTGACGAAGACGGGCCTGAAACACACTTTGATGAATTAGGTACATCGATGTGAGACTGCAAAATGTTTTTGGAAAAAGAGCTTGTAAAGTTTATTTTAATAACCTCTCAGAAGAGGGTGTTTTTTCCATGAATGTTTTCAGCATCAGTAATGTGCCAATGTGAAACGATCTGGATACTGTTCATAAATTCCCTTAAGTGTTTTTTAAATGTATTTTGCCCCTGAGTGCACTACGCAAACTTTTCATTCATTGAATTCACCATGATATATGAATGAGTGTATGTACGTCCGTGTGAGAGAGAGCTGCTTGCATAATTTACATGAGTAATGATATATTTGTGCTTATCTAAAAGAATGTGCATTGCATGTATATTTAAATTCTAATATTCTGACTTGAAATCAGTTTGTATGACAATACGGCTATATATTTTTACTATTAATAGTTCATGAGCATGGGGCACCTGGGTGGCTCAGTGGGTTAAGCGTATGCCTCTGGTTTAGGTCATGATCTCGGGGTCCTGGGATTGAGTCAGGCTCCTTGCTCAGCAGAGAATCTGCTTCCCTCTCTCCCTCTGCCCTCCTCCTCATGCTCTTGCTCTCTCTCACTTCTGCTCTAAAATAAATAAATTAATTAATTAAAAAAAAACATTGTTAATGAACAGAATCGAGGTTAGATGGGAAAACATCAGAGTAGAAATGAGGCTTGTGCTCCAGTCTCAGTCCTCCTTGGTGACCCTGGGATTAAGTATCTCGGCATGTGTGACATGAGGAGGGTTATATTTTCAAGGTCAAATAAGGCCTAACAATCTGATTTCTTTCTACCGTGGCATAGTTCTCTTTATCAGAATAACTTGATACAGATTAGAGTGTCATGTTTACTAAATGCCATTTAGAAATGACTTTTATTTTGCTTTAATCCATTAAAATACAAACTGCTGGCTCTTCTCAGACTTTGAGGCAGGTGATGAGGTAAGCAATAAAAATGTATTACAATAAAGAAAAATCTACTGGTTCTAGCCATCATGGACACTGAAACGGTAGCTGATCTCTTCAAAAGCCAGCCTGTGTGCTGATCATAGAATCAAAAGTTTTTAATATCAGCTTTTCTAGAAGAAAGTTCTAAGTGTGAGTTTTGTGTTATAAGTTAGTTACACATTATTTCCCCCAAATTCTTTGCAAATATGTTTATGTTTAATGACTTAGGATATTTTAGTCTTTCTGATTTTTTTAGGGAGAGCCAGACAGTTCAGCCTTTTGTTCACATATGGAAAGGCTACTCATTATTAATTTATTGCCTAAGAGGTCCTAAATTCATTGTGAATTTAAAATAAATACATCTTTCTTTGTATTTCCCAGCAAGAAACTTATTTGCAAAAAAGTCACTAAATTCAGATTTTTCCTGTAACTGTAACAATTGATTATTAACCGGGCTTTCCTACCGGAGATCTACTTCCACATTCTGTTATGTATTAATGAGCCTTCCTACCTATACCTTTGTCTTTGCCTTAATATACTTTAAACTTTTTGTCATTGAGGGAATTATCAATTAAATAAAAACATCACTAGCAATTTTGACCATAAGCCAAAAATGTTTTATTTTATGTAAAGAAAAAAAGTCACCTTGAAAGAGTTTTCTTCCACATTCCAACTTCTAACCCCAGGTCAAAAAGAAATTGTGATTTGTAATACTTTTTGAATTTGAAAAAGTAATATATTGTCATTAAAGTATATTTAGAAAATGCAGGAAAAAGGGACTCCTGGATGTCTCAGTCAGCTGTGTCCGACTTGTGATTTTGGCTCAGGTCGTGATCTCATAGGTCGTGAGATGGAGCCCCCATTGGGTTCCATGCTGAACAGGGAGTCTGCTTGATATTCTCTCTGTCCCCCTCCCTCTGCCCCCCCCAAAATAAATACATAAATCTTAGAAAAAAAAGGAAATGCAGAAAAAAGAAGACATCTTTCTAGAACTCTGCTAACCAGAGACACTCACTGGTAAGCTTATTGTATCCTGGCGTACAGTTTCACAGTTCACGTGGTTTTAGTCTATAATATATACCTTTGTGCGTTTTCCACTTAATAGTACTTCATTAGCATGAATTCCATAAGTTTGCAGTCTTTATAAATCCCTTTAGTGTTTGTATAGTATTTTATTGCCTGATGTCACGGAGTTCATGGAGTTGTTTCCAGATTATAATGATGCTGTGAGAATATCTTACTCAGTAATACTTTCCATAGTTGAATTTATTTTATTAGGATAAATTTTTAAATATACAGTTAATATTTGGGAACTTTAAAAGAATGACATCTTCCTTTTTTAGAGGATGTGTTTCTGCTGGAAACTGATAACCCAAGGACAACACTAGTGTATGGCATTTTTACAACATCAAGGTAATTATTAAACAATTACAGCTTATGGGTTAAACAATAAACTTTATTGAGTAATAGTAATTATTATAAAACATTCTTTTGAACTTTTAATTTTAGATAGCATTCAGAGTGTAACTGTCCTGTTTTATTACTTTTGCCTGATTACCAAAATATATTTAAGCTGAACTAACATTTTCAAAATAGTTTTGAACAGAGTGTTTATAATGATTATATGCTATCTTTCTCAAAGAAAGGAAGATATGAATTAAAATGCAGGAATAAAGTATATAAGGTATTTTGTTTTAAGGAAGTAATATGAGGATTCATGTTTCACCTAAAACTTTTGATATTTCTGTTGAAATAAGTTTTACTTCTGGAGTGATCTAAAATGATGATCATTTAGAAACTAATAGAATATCGCATCAGTTTTCACATTCCATATGATAGTATTTCATTTATCTGAAAATAGGTTTAATATTTTCTAACTTCTCTGGGATGCCCAATCTCAACTGTCATGTATTTCAAGAAAACTTGCCATATTCTCACCCTTTCCTCCCCATATTTCTGTTTACTCATGTTACACTGGGAATGTTACTCGGAATGCAACACAATACTCAAGCTGGGGCATGGCCAATGCAGAATGTAATGGGTCCCCTTTATTAGACAATCAATTATAAGGCCAAAACTTGGAGCTTTTAGCATCATTCTCTTCTAGTGGGGCAAACACAGCATAATCATAAACTGTAATGGGCCATTCACAGTAAAAGAAAATGGCAGGGATATTGATTATAAATCATATTTACACTTGCCCTATAAAATCTGTAAAAAGATGCCCTTTAGGATGAACAATTTAACTCCTGTTCTAATAGAGAAAGTAGTCCTGATTTAACTCACAAAGAATTGAACAAACTGAAATGAACCAAAGTCTTTAAAAAGTTGTTTCAAAAAACCATTTTTATAATGTTTGTTTTCCCCAATAGCATTTTGAAAAATTCAGAATTGTCATTTTTGACCTGTGATCCTAATGATTAATTAATATATTTTGCTTTTTTCAATGGGCATCTAAGTTTTCCATTAGGCATCTAATTTAGGAGATACCTAGAAGTCAGAACTGTTTCTGTCAATCTGCCTTATTGACAATAGTCATAGTTTTTAATAAGGATCTAAACAAATTCTATGAGATTTTATTGACAATATAATGAATCTCTTTTGTACCTTATTGGGTTTTGGGGTTTTTTCCTGTCATTAACAGGGAAAATACATAAAACTATGATAACAGATTTTTCTAGTTACTATTTAGGACAAATGTAAGAACATTCTCACATTAAAATCATCTTAAGACAAAGAGATTCCATTTCTCTTAATGAGACTTATTTCTCTGAGTTAAATTATCATAGATTGTACTGACAGTGACTTAGAATTCAAATTCATATTTTTTAATAAATCATCAATTGATTTTTTTGTTGTTAAGATAAACTAGTTAAAAACTTTTTTGACTTGTCCTATATTTTGGAAACAATAACTCTCTTTATTTTTTTATTTTTTAAATATTTTAAATTTTTATTTATTTTTTTATAATAACTCTTCTATAACTTATTACTATGTTCTACCTCCATGGATGACTTAAATGTTTTAATGCCATGTGTACCAATGGTTTATTTCAAAATAATAGAAGTTTTTTGGCTTTATAATGCGCACTGTAACATTCAAGTTTTCCATGATGACTTATATCAACTTTTTATCACTAACTTTACCATCTATTTTTTTAAAATTGTATTTAAAAGTAAAAAAAAAAAGAAAAAAGTAGGATAATGGATCTCTTTCTGTTTTGTTTTTATAGCTCAGTTTTTAAAGGCTCGGCAGTGTGTGTGTATCATTTATCTGATATACAGACTGTGTTTAATGGGCCTTTTGCCCACAAAGAAGGGCCCAATCATCAGCTGATTTCCTATCAGGGTAGAATTCCATATCCTCGCCCTGGAACTGTAAGTATCTAAGAAAGTTTCTTTGTTATTTTGCTTTTTAAAAAATATATATATATGTAATTTAACAAGAAATGAATGGCATATTGATAATTATTAAATACAGCCATAGACCTACTGATATACTCATTTTAATTTTTCAGGTCATGGTTTCTCACATTTTGGATTTTACAAATAGATCCTCTACAATTTTTTCTAAGTACTATTACTAGTAAAATCTCCCAGATTTCAAAACAACTATATATGTTAAACACAACAGAGATATTTCCTAATTTTATTGGCATAAAAGCCATAGCTTAGAAAGTGTTAACATTTTGGTCGCAGCCTAAAAGAATTTGAAAGCTAGTTGCTTTTTACAACCCTTCCTAATATTAATGAAGCTCACCTGTTTTAATAAAGAAGTAATCATACAAAAAATAATTTAGCAATAAAACATATATAGATCTTTCAATTTTAAGGTATATACTTAGGGATATATTAAAAATTATATACTGTGTATTTCTCAAACAAAGTAGTATGTGTAGACAAACACAATGGGGATCCCTGGGTGACTCAGCAATTTAGCACTGCCTTCAGCCCAGGGCGTGACCTTGGGGTCCCAGGATCGAGTCCCACGTGGGGCTCCCTGCATGGAGCCTGCTTCTCCCTCTGCCTGTGTCTTGGCCTCTCTTTCTCTCTCTCTCTCTCTCTCTTTCTCTCTCTCTCTCTCTCTGTCTCTTATGAATAGATAAATAAAATCTTTTAAAAAATACAATGAAAGTGATGTTATAATTCAATAAAATATTTATGAACTATAAAGTTTTGAGGTATACAGGATACCCATGTTTCATAACATTAGCAGTATTAAGAAGTACTTTGAAAACTAACTTTTCCAGCTGAAGTTGTAGGCAGTGCACTGACAGATTGGACTTGAAGTTTTTCTAGGACTACAATAATCATAGTCCTACTATATATTTTTTATTTGGCCCATTATGATGCTTTATTGAATTCTAGAATATTGATTAGTTTTGATCTCTATAAAATGTCCTATGGTACGCTGAGAAGAGACAATCAAGAGGAATATAATTTTCTTATATTTTTGCATTTCATAGAATATATTTATAAAATGGGGTGGATGTGAATAAAAAGAATGGTATTATGAAAAATAATCAAAAGATAGTTAAAATATTGTTTTCTTGAAATGTCTCTGTTTCCTTTTTCCTTAAATACGAAATTCCCTCTACCAATGTGCTTTCAGATATTCACCCTATGTAATTTTTATTGTTTATTCCTTTTATTTTTGTCTTATTATCAGAGTTTATTTGCAGTGTATTATTCAGTCCTTTATTTTCTCCTCATCTTAAATATACTGCTGTCAATTTTCTTTAAAAAATAAGAAAAATAGTTTTGTAAACCTCTAAACCTATTTATTCAAAATTGAAAGAGATCAAATTTGGTTCCCTGGCTAGGAAGCACAAAGATTAATCATTGATACATCTTTTATAGGAATAATTAAAATTTAATTAGCTGGAAAGATTATCATCATTGCTCTTTACCTATGAAACAATTAAATTTGAAAAAGCCACGCTTAATCATGGCTGGGGACAAAGTCCTATCATACAATTCACAGTCTCCTTTTACATGATCTCCCTTTGATACAGCTCAACAGAAAGTGGAAAAATACTTAATTATTTTGGGCAACACAAGCAAAATATCAACAGATATATTGACGCTAGGGCACCTCAACTTGGAGTGTGTTGGATAAGAAGCAGAGATTACATAAAAGAAGTGAAAGTGAAGAGGAACGTGAACAATTTTCAGATTCCATTATAACTCACAGCTCTCATTAATTCATCCAGTGTAGTTCATGCATTCCCAGGTGACTCACTGATAACCTATTCAAGAATAAATCTTATTTTTGAGAATTACTTGCTACTTGAAGTTGACCAAGTCATTACATCATCTTAATACAGAAAATTTACAAGTGATTGTGACTGTGTATGCTTTCATTAATTATTTTTTTAACAACATACATTTGGGATTAGTATAGGAATAGTTTGTCGGTAAACTCAACAAAATTCTATTTCCCAAGTATTACCTTAAGAGAAATTTCCCAGATTAAAAAACAAACAAACCAAGAAAAAAATGGATAAAAGAGAGCCACCCTAATAGAATCAGGTTTGAGGCCTTAGAGCCTCAACGAGTATGTATGGAGTGAGTTTATACCCAGCTTATAAGAGTAGATTCTGTGCACCTCATCTCAAGTAAGGATTCACAGTAGTGACTTGAGAGCACCATGGTGACAGTAGTTACAGTTTGAAGTTGACAAGTATTACAAATCATTGTAATAGGGCAGCCCGGGTGGCTCAGTCGTTTAGCGCCGCCTTCAGCCCAGGGTGCGATTCCTGAAGACCCGGGATCGAGTCCCCCGTTGGGCTCCCTGCATGGAGCCTGCTTCTCCCTCTGCCTCTCTCTCTCTCTCTCTCTGTCTCTCATGAATAAATAAATAAAATCTTAAAAAACAAACAAAAAAACCAAATCATTGTAATAAATTGACAAAAAATTACATTTTTTTTTTCCTGAAGAAAAGCCACCCCTGTTCTCAATGCTAGTCAGACTCTTCACCCAAATGACAGTTCAAAAAGACTCTCAGGAATCATATTGAGAAAACCACTCATGTCAAATAGCAATTATTCTACATAAAATGTGAGAATGGATAAACCCCTTTTAGTAAAACAAAATAAACCAATGTTAAATTAGAAAATTCTGCTAATAGTCCCACTTTTCACTATTTCCAAGTTCCTAAGGATAAGCATGCTTTTTTTTTTTTTTTCTGCTGTAAAGCAGTGTGGTATAAGCCAGGGCTTAGTAATACACATCTGGAGCTGACTCCATGAAATAAAGGGAGTAGTCAGTACTTGAGACATATTTCTATAATGTGGTTTCTTACATCTGGTGCTGAGACCAGAGCAGCTCCCTTCAATAAAAAAATTGTCAAATGAGTGATCCTTAGGGAGTGAAACAGGCAGGGTGGAGGAAGACCTCTGGAACCCCTTCTGGAAAGCATACCTCCCAGAAAATTTGGTCCCTCCACCCTTCGCTGAGCAACACACCATGAAGGCTCAGCTGTCTGACTCAGATGGCCAGGCTTCCAGGGTTTAATATCCCATCGATATAGCAGGAAGACCTACAGCCAAGTGACCCAAAGCATTCTCTCTTTTCTGGGTTAAAAATGTTGCTTCTGAAGTCTTCCTGTGAAGAATTAACTGTGACTGCTGTACTTTATTTCCCTACACAGTAGTCCAGTTGCCCGGTCAACCTCATAAATACATGACTGGATTCTTAAAAAAAATGACAGGGCCAGAAATTGTATACCCTCACTCTAATGTTTCCCGTAGGTGATTCTTTTAAAGCAGAGTTGATAGCTTTGTTAGCAAACTGCCCCAACTAGCAAGCCCAAGTCAGTGGGAAGAAGCCTGCCAATTGTGTCATAATGTTTTTCCATAAGTAATTCAAGTTTGTGGAAGAAACAGGACACCTTTGGTATGTTGCAAAGGGCAGCCAAAGACTGCAGATTCTCTCTGTGGCTGAGCTAACATATTACATTATTCTGTTGCAATGTGTATAAAGCTTCTGTAGAAAGTTGTTTTGCTTATACTATCCTGCTTAAAGCAGAACCCAATTAAAGTGTTCTGTTTTAATATCTATTTATAAGTGGACCAGAACCATCTGCCTTAATCTTGCTTTGAACAGTTCTGATACCTCTTCACAGCAAACGAACACAGAAAATTCATGACCCACATAGTTAGTGGTGGCATGAAAAAGAGAACTTTATTGCTGGCACTTCTGTTGATTCCACACATCTTTGGGTGGTTCTTACATTAGAAGTATTTCTAGTCTTCATAGACGTTTAAAGCATTGTTAGGGAAGTTTACAATAAAATTAAGTAAGACATGTAGACATGAAAAGTTCATTACATGTTTCATATCATTATTCGAGACATGAATAAAATAGACGATAAATACTATCGAAGTCTAGATGAGACAGAGACTTTTGTAGGATAGCCTTGTCCTGAGAAGGCATATAAAAAATATGAGATTGAGTTGGCCCTGAAGACAGTCAGATATGAATAATTTGGGTGGGGAAAGAATGCTCTTCTAGACAAAGGTTACAGCTTACATTATAAGGCAAAGGTGGAAATTAACAAGGGAGTTCTAGAAGCTCCCCCTGAGCTAGTAGGACTGGAGCAAAGCACTCTTGTCAGCAGTGAGGGATAAATGAAAGTAAAATGTGGACCAAGTGGTGCATAAGTACACGTCCTCAGCTATATAACTCTCTGGGCTTTAAATAAAGGACCTAGATTACTAAGGGTTTAAGCATGAGCTCAGTTTCTCTCAGAATACAAGTTTCAAAGACCAATGCCAGAAACTAACCCAGATTCTGGAATGCCATTTATTCATGTCCGTGTATTTATTCATACACCACTCATCTTTCAAGTGTTAGGTCAAGCTCCCCTTGACCATGTCAGTCACTCCTTCTCTGACTAGTTTTGCTTTGCTTTTCTGCAGTCTTTAACCTCAACTCCTACCTTTCTTTTGAGCATTATGACCCAGCAATGCCCCACATTATAGTTTCTTAAATATTCTAAATTTTTGTTCTACCTCTAAGCCTTTCCACCAACTCAGAAAGCCTTAAGTTCTCTGCTCTATTCTGAATTCATTTAAAAAATATTGGCTCTTAACCATATATGGCAATTGATCATGAATCAAGATTTGATATTTATTTTATATTTGTCTTAAATTATCATTATATGCCTTGTTATTTTGCTTTGAATATGCCCATCTTTCAAGAATCTTATGTCTACAAGATAATGGTGGCTTCTTATACTTGTGTCTTCGATTGGACATATCAAAATGCTTTTTGAATAAAAACATGCACAAGGAGGGATGCCTGGGTGATCAGCAGTTGGGTGTCTGCCTTTGGCTCAGGGTGTGGTCCCGGCATCCTGGGATCAAGTCCCACGTCAGGCTCCTTGCGTGGAGCCTGCTTCTCCCTCTGCCTGTATCTCTGCCTCTCTCTGTGTGTGTATCTTTCAAGGATAAATACATAAAATCTTAAAAAAAAATAAGTGTCCAAGGTATAGCTACATGAATTAAGATATGAGTATATTAATACTGAAAACTAAGATCATGGATGTGAGATTTAGGAGCATCGGAGGATGGCGGGTGTCAAGAATAGCTAAAAATAGGAAAGAAATTAGGTTGAGGGCAACAATTGCTGATACTTCCTTAACATGGCATTGTTATTGTTCCTAGCATTTCACCCAACACTTTAGTAATCAAAACACTTAAAATGTCTTTACTCAAAAAAGGAGTGCTTATCACTGCTCGATAAACAGAAAGCTAGAACTGGAAAAAAAAAAAAAAAAAACAGCTTAAAGGAGAAGTTTAACCCAAACTACTTAATGACTATTTGTAGAGTTCAGCCTTCTGAAGAATGAGACACCAGCCTCATTCAGGGACAGAGGCTTTATTTTATGATAGTTTGTGGATGTTCTATTATCTTGAGATCTCAGTACACAAGTTTTCACATTCACAAGATGAGGGATAAGTTCATGAATTTTATTTATACTTGGTAATGTTACACTGAGCAAACTCAGAAGTCCAGAGAGAGAATCTGCAAAGGGTAATCCATTTTTATTCTTGTCACCATCATTGTCATTCATCCTGTGTCTTATCTGCAAAGTTTATGCCATGAATCAATTGAGAAAATTAATTCTTGTCAAAAAGATTTATTTTGTGATTTCGAAAATACTCCTACCAGGAAACATTTGTTTCTAAGCAAGAAGTTCATAAAACTAAAGTCCCTAATGGGGGACACTTGAATGAACATAAAATAACTGATTTGAGTTGATCTGTTTGGGTTACCTATTTAATAAGTATACTTTTGTGCACATGAGACATAATTTTTAACTGAATTTAAATTAAGTAAAGCCCAGAAACTAGACACTTATAATTTAATGACCTTATCACACCTGAAAGTAATTGCTAACTGGAAATTATATAAATTGCCTAGTAATATATGCTAACTTTGGATCTTTGGCACTTACAAATGAGAATGTTTGCAAATATTTAAGGAGATTTCTCAGCTTAGCAAACCATAATTAGTGGTGTTTTATGAGGAGCTGGGTTGCCTATGCATTTGTTCTTTCCATTTTTTCACTCAGTGAGCAATGTGTTTCCCTTTTTCCACTTTGTGTGAAGAATGAGGGTAGAGAACACCCATAATTCTACACTTTCCCGAAGTATGGAACACATCCATCATTTTAGAATACCATCAAATGAAATTCTTTCTCCCCATTTGGTCTTTTTTTGTGGGCAATTTATAAACATGTATATTTAAAGATAATGCTTTTTCCTAAAAGAAAAGCATATGAGCCCCAGATGAAAGTCGCTTGATGGGGTAATGAATCAGAGGCTTAGTTTTATTACTTGTCTCATTATCTCTCCTTAGTGAAGTCATTTAATTGCTCCCTGTGCCTTTCTATAAAAAGAGAACTATATTTACTGGTCCTGCAAAAAGTTCTAGTAATGTTAACTGGTCAAAGTGAGTCTAAAAATTGCCTTCAGTATGATACAGTCTAAGTGAGTGAGGCAATATTAATAATTTGCTGAGAGTTATTTGCAAACGTGGGTCTGCCCAACGATACTGGTCCAGAGGCACTAACCTTGTGGGATAATTGTTGCAAGGATTTAACCTACAAGTCACCATGTCTTTTGGGTCCCTAACGTTGCTTTTCTCTTTTTACATGGGGGTTAACATTGTAATTTTGGCAGATTTCACATAAAATTCCACATTTCTACCTTCCGTTGAAATCTGGCCACACTAGGCTTATATTCCTGCATAGGAGCAATAGCTAGAAATGAGTATTCATTGCCAGTTTGGAATAAGGCATAACTTTCCAGTTTATTACTGTCCCCATTACACCCTACAGTTTGCTACAGATGTTGTATCCTTTGCTATTGATCAGAAAGTTTGCTTTGTTGCTTTCCTTTACCTTTTACCTCTCATAAGAGAATAAATGAAAACTAGAACAGAAGTGCTTTTCTTTCAAGAAAATATGGCATTGAATACCTGAGTATTTTTGCTTTTGAAAGTTGAAATATTGTCAGGTATTTAATAGGATTACACAAATAGTGTGTGTATATGTTAAAGATTATACCCAACAGTTTTGCTTGTATAACTTAACCAGATCCTATTAGTGGATAAGTTTGCATTCCAAGCTCCAGCAGCTCCCAGCCTACCCCTGAGCTTGGCCTCAGATGCCCTATAAATGGAATCCTCTCCCCAGAAGCCCTTGTTATACCTCCTTTCCAGAACTACTGAAGCTGTCCAGCAGTCCTTTTTCAGATCTTATTATTGCTTTCTAGTTGTCTCTTTGAACTTGAAGCTCTGAATCTTTCCTCTCCTGGACAGAATCGAGGCTCCTGTTTCATACAGCCCTGAACCAAAATTGAATGCCAGCTGTAATAGAGTAAATCACTTGTTAAATTATCCTTTGTTGAATATCTACTATTTGTCAGCTTTGTTATATATAGGCCCCAGAGTGAAACAATGAACAAAATATAACCAGTCAAGGACAACATGTAGCTTACATTCTAGAGGGAGAAACAGGCAGTAAACACACAAGCAACTAATACATAATATTCAGCTAGGTAAATAGAGCTGTGAAAAAAAATAATCCATCAGGTTAAGGAGATAGAGAGTGGAGATAGAGATGGGGAGCTATTTTTATGTGTGTCGCCACTTTTAAAGAAGTGACTTTTGAACTGAGAGCTGAATGAGGTAACAGGGAAAACCATGGAGTTATCTGGAGAAGCATATTTCAAGTGCCAAGGTCCTGGAGGGGGAGCATGCTTGAGCCTCAAGAACAGTGAGAACTGGGGATCCCTAGGTGGCTCAGTGGATTAGCGCCTGCCTTTGGCCCAGGGTGTGCTCCTGGAGTCCCAGGATCTGGTCCCGCATGGAGCTTCCCTGCATGGAGCCTGCTTCTCCCTCTGCCTGTGTCTCTGCCTCTCTCTCTCTCTCTCTCTGTGTCTCTCATGAATAAATAAATGAAATCTTAAAAAAAAAAAAAAAAAAAAAAAAAAACAGTGAGAACTACTTAGGGCAATGGTAGATGCAGACCAGACATGCAGGGATCGGTAGGCCATGCTAAGCTGTTGTAATTTTATTCCAAAGATAATGAAAGTCACAGAAGTCTTGTCTAGAGGGGAATGGTCAGGTCTAATTTACCACACCGAAGCCAAGCTCCAACTCCAGAGATCCCTCTTGGGAGGAGGGAATCAGATGGAATAAAAACTCTTGCCCATTAGAGTTCTGATTGAATTTGATAACGATTAGCTATGTTAGCCAGTAACAGCATTAGATTTTATCCACAAGATTTTTTTTTTTTACCCTAACAACATTGTTTCAGGCACAAAATAAGAATAGAAAAGAGAGGGGTGGAAAGGTAAGAAGTTATAGACAGAATGGCATCAACTGTTCTCTGAAAACAACTGGAGCAGGACAAGTGGACTTAGCCTTGCTCAAATGGTCAAATTGGGTATATTTTTAATTCGGTTTCTATAGATAGTTGTATGTACAGTCTTGCTGTTTTCTCCTCAATGGAGAGCAAGTAGAGATGGTCCCCACTTGGGATGGTTCATCTCATGGTTTTTTTTTTTTTTTTTTTTTTTTTGACTTTATGATGGCTGGTGCAAAAACAGTACACATTAAGCAGAAACTGTACTTTGAATACTTAATCTTGCTCTTTTCCCAGGCTAGTGATTTGTGACACGATCCCCTCTCATGATGCTGGGTTAGGCAGAGAGCTGCAACTCCTAGACAGCTATGTGATCACAAAGGTCAACAGCTCCTATTCTTAAATCATTCTGTTTTCCACTATTAATACAGTATTTTAAAAAATTGCATGAGCAATTCAACACTTTATTATAAAATAGCATTTGTGTTACATGATTTCTGTCTAACTGTAGGCTAATATAAGTGCTCTGAGTGTATTTAAGGTGGGCTCAGCTAAGCTATGATGTTAGGTAGGTTAAGGGTATCACATGCATTTTTAACTTATGGTATTTCCAATTTACAACAAATTTATCAGGATTTAAACCCATCATAAGTCAAGGAGGAGCTGCACTTAAGACAGCTTAAGCTTCTAAGTATTTTGAAAAGTAGGACCTTTAGTGATAACCTTTGAAAAGTTATCACTAAAGTGAAGTAACTATTTACTAACTTGGTTCTTTTTAAAATGTTTTATTAGTGCCCAGGAGGAGCATTTACACCCAACATGCGGACTACTAAGGAGTTTCCAGATGATGTTGTCACTTTTATCCGAAACCATCCCCTCATGTACAATTCTGTATACCCAATCCACAGAAGGCCTTTGATTGTTCGCATAGGCACCGATTACAAGTACACAAAGATAGCTGTGGATCGAGTGAATGCTGCTGACGGTAGATACCATGTCTTGTTTCTTGGCACAGGTAAGCATTTGAGCTCAAACTATCCTGCAATGTGCAGTAAAGGAGTTTCATAAGTAAGGACCGTAATATTGGAACCAGAGAGACTCCAATGTTGATTTCTTCAAAATCCTTTCTTCGTGGGGTTATTGTGAGGAACAAATGGGTTAATATATGTAAAGCACCTAGAACAGTTGCTGGCACATATAATAGAGAAAGATAATAATTATGAGCTGAAAGAAAAGATGGGAAGAAATCTTAAGTATGTAAGTGTGTCTCTCAACTGAAGCAAATTCTGCAACTTCTTAACAGATACATGGAGCCATTTTCCAAGCGATCATGATAATGATAGATAGTTCTAGATGACATTTAAGGGTAAATTTAATAACAAATACAAATAACTTTTTTGAAAATATTAACGGTGGTATTTTAATATATTCACAAACCATAGTTTGCCAATTTTAATAGACTGAGTGAAAAATACTCTTGTTTATAAATCTATATGAATGTGAAATGACTGGCTCTATAGCAGGGGTCCTCAAAATGTGTTCCCCAGACCAACAAAATCAGTTATTACCCAAGAACTTATTAGAAATGCAAAGTTTAGGTCCCCAGTCCAGAAACTCTAGAGATAAGACCCAGCCATCTGTGTTTTAGCAAGCCTGCCAAGTAACTCAATACACAGTAAAGTTTGAGAACCACTCCTCGAGAGGAAAAAGCTCTAGTTTGCCATTAGACAGTAATTGACATCTTTCAAACATTCCTGACTACGTTGCAGGAAGTGATGAAGTCTTTTTATTTATAATATCAAAACTACTTCATGAAATTAGGCAATTCCTCTACTAGCTTAAGAAAGAGATACGGGAAAAAAATAAATAAATAAATAAATAAATAAATAAATAAATAAATAAATAAGATACAAAACGTGTCTATAAATCTCATTATAAGCTATTCAGTGGTGCAACACGTATTCTGAACTAAGAAATGAATTGCACTCACACTTCACTCAATTTAAGATGTGAGTATTTAGCCAAGAAAAAATACCCACAAAGTATGATTTTCCTATAAAATTCTTATTTTGTTCTTACACTGAAACCCCCCAGATCTGAATCTTTCACTCTCATATAATTTCAGCTTGTATTGGTTGGAGGTTGAGAACCTGCTGGCAGGCATATTTGGCATCATCTTTCACACTTAGACATACGGGTGTTTTCACTGGTCCTCTCTTTGTTTGCCCCATACCTGAGAAATAATTTCTCCTTCCCAGACTAACCATTCTCTAGTCTGTTCTCAATTTTATCTTTTCCTGCAATTTCCAGGAACTTTATCAGTTATCTTCTCATTCACTTTGTTTGTTCATTCATTCTCTACTGTATCCTTGGCTAGAAACCCTACACCAGGATACAAAACTAGACTACACCTTCACTCTTGGCCACTTCTGCTGTACTGCTGGTTTTGCCAAGGTCCTCAATGTCCTCATGATAAGAAAACCCAATGAATCACCGAGCACCTTTAATCACTGAGGTATTTCCATCTCCTCTTTGCACCATTTGGTATTGTAGAATCTCTCTTTACCTGTTGCTTTGGCCACAAGTAGTAGAAGTTCCTTCTCAGTTTCCTGCATAAGCCTAGCTTCTTCCTGCTTGTGAACGTAGGTATTCCCCAAGGTTCTGTCCACAGTCCTCTTCTTTTTACATGTTCTTTGGCCATTTCATTTATTCATGTGGTTTTAATCTATTATGTGCAAACAAATCCTAAATCCTTCATCATTGTCATATCCTGAGCTCAATATTTGCATTTACATCTTCCCTTTTTTTGTATTTTATTTTATGATTTTAATTTTTTTAAGTTTTTATTTTAATTCCAGTTAGTTAACATACAGTGTTATATAATATAGGTGTACAATATGGTGATTCAACACTTCCATGCATCCCTGGTGCTCATCACAATAAGTACGCTCCTTAATCCCCATGCCCCACCTACCTCTCCACTGGTAACCATCAGACTGTGCTCTATAATTAAAAGTCTGTTTTTAGCTTTGACTCTCTCATTTGTTTCCTTTGCTTTTTTCTTGTTTCTTAAATTCCACATATGAGTGAGATCCTATGTTTTTGTCTTTCTCTGATTTATTTCACTTAGCATTATATTCCCTAGCTCCATCCACGTTGTTGCAAATGGCAAGATTGCATTCTCTTTTTTACAGCTGAGTGATATTCCATGTATATATACCATCTCTTCTTCATCCTTTCATTAGTCGAGGGACACTCAGACTGCTTCCATATCTTGGCTGTTATAAATAATGCTGTTATTACCATAGGGGTGCATATAATTGGTGCTTTTGTATTCTTTTGGTAAATACCCTGTAGTGCAATTGCTGGATCATAAGGTGGTTCTATTTTTAGCTTTTGAGGAAACTCCACACTGTTTTCTACTGTGGCAGCATAAGTGTGCATTCTCACCCAAGAGCATACAGAGTGTTCCTTTCTCTCCACATCCCTGCCAACATCTGTGTTGTTGATTTACATCTTACTTTTAGATCGCACACAATGTGTAACTCCTTAACATTTCAAACAACATGCTTCAAACTTAATTTATCCACTCCTGAGACTCTGGAACCAATGCTTAATCCAGTCTCCCATATTGGTATTCTTACCACACCTTCCTTCCAATGTTCTATTTCTCCTTGATATGTAATTTCTCTGTAGGCATATCACTGTGCCTGGTAAACTTGACAAATGCCAAGATGATTTGAATATCATGACTATATCCATTGCTACTCATATAACAAAGTGAATTCATAACTATTTGCAAAAGCTCATCTTCATTTGCATACAAGCTCTGTTCTCCCAAGATGTAACCTCCATATGGATGACTTTGAAGAGTTGCGTTTAGCCTTGGCTTGGACCATCTGGCATGGAGTTTGCATTAAAAAAAAAAATCTTGAGGTGAAGTGATAATTTTAGAGTCATACATCTTCTCAATATCTCATACTACTCATAAAGAGTAACTGTTTTCTTTTCTTTTCTTTTTCTCTTTTGGAACTTGTGTTAAATGTGAACTCTGATGTCACAGGTTGTCTCAGGAAAGTTTGCATAAAATACGTAGATTTAATGGAGGAAATTTTCAAGTCTTTATAAACTGTGTAGCAGTGTTTATTCAGATAGACGGCAGTAAGAAACATACTTTTGCACAAATTCTTTGGCTTTTCTTGCCACGTAAGTATCTGGCACCTTTACATGGACTTTTTCTGTTGGTATTTAAACATTTGTGTCATTTTGAAAAACAGTATTTAGGCATATGTTTTTAATTGTACTGGGAAGCTTCCCTAATGATTGCTTACAAAGCCACATGAGTCTCTGAAAGACTCTAATAGGAAAGCACATGCTATGTATGACACTCCCTCTGCCAACAGCATCTTTCTGAAGAGATGATAGCTCACTGAACCGTTGGATCTTATCCTCATGGTTATATCAGACTGTACTAGAATTTAGAAATTGTGATTTCTGTTTGCCTGAAACTCTTAACAGCCAGTATATTTGTATAAGATAGTTGTTGCCCAAGTAGTTCTTGGATTGTTGGTGAAATTTCTTCAAAAGGGAGAGTTCTCAGTGTTTGTTTGCTACTAAAAGTGAATAGAATAGCCTTTTCTGAAATGGAACTTGGCAGAATTACAGGTCACCGCTCCCAAGGATTTCTTAGCTTTGGGCATCTAAATGTCTTAGGAAGGGTATAATATGTCATGGTGTTGCCAAATTCCTCATTACCAGAGAGCTTTTCAGCTGTTTAAAGTAAATAATAATGTTCCAATTAATGCCATGAGTCAAGCTTCTCTCCAGGCTTTCCTTTCTCTCTACCATAATGGAAATTTTAGAGGAATTTAATGAAGACCTTAGTTGTCAAAGAAGGTATCATTAAAAAAAAAAAAAAAAAAAAAAAAACAACTTACATGACAGTTAATTGGAATGCAAATAGGATCTTATGTAACTATTCACTTTGAATATTATGAATGATTTGTAGCTCCCAGAATCTCTATGGTACTTAGGTGAGCTCAATGCCTAGTAACCCTTACAATTAGCCCCTTACAGTGGACTACTACACCAGCTGAGTTTGAGAGACTGGTAATCTGACCCTCCACTCTCCTGGTACTACTTCATTATGCTTTGTGTACTGCAAGATGCAAAGACAGGCAGACAGATAGATAGACAATAAATAAGAAAAAAGAAGGGGAAGGAGAGAGGAAAGAAGAAAGAAGGAAAGAAAGAAAGATAATAGAACTTTGTCTTCTCATCGTTTATTTCTTACAGCTTGCATTATCAATATCTAATCTAGGGTTCAGCAAACTACAACCTGGACCAAATCTAGCCCACGGCATGTACGGTACATAAGCTAGGAATGTTGTTTTTACATTTTTCAATGATTGAAATAAATTAACAAGGAGAATATCTCACGAGCACTGAAAACAACAAGATATGTAGATTACCTTGTTCAAAAATAAAGTTTATTAGAATATGGCCACATTCATTCTCTTCCGTTTTGTCTGTGGCTGCTTTTGAGCTACAGTGCCAGGGTTGAGTATCCTCCACAGAGACTGCTTAGCTCACAGAGCCTAAAATATTTGTTATTTGGCCTTTTAGAGAAAAAAAGAGTTTTGTCTGGTAGTTGGATAATTTTAGAAAAATGAAGACTTCTTAAGAAGCTATTTTCTAATATGTAGATATAATACGGGAATTCATAATGTTGCCCAAAATAAATATTTCTTCTTTTATCTTGAGTAAAAAATATTCTGCTGTTCTATTAAAATTTAAACTAGAAACTAAGTTCACTAAATATGTTCCCATTCATTCCTGCTACCACCCCTCTAAAAATGATCTCATGTTGGAAAAAAAAAAAAGGTGTTTTCAGGTCAGTGCTTTTGTTTTATTCTGTAGCATTTGTTGATATTTGGTAGTATCTTTCTTTTGTTCTGGCGTTTTTTTGTATGTGTCATTTTGTTTTGTGTTTTAAATTCTTAGTTCTGTGGGTAT